TTTTTTATTTCATTAAACACATAATAAATATTTTTTTAAAAAAAATAAAAAACAAAGAGATAATTGTTAGTTTCAAACCTATAAATAAGCTAAAAAGATAAACGATAGGATATTTTTAAATCGAAAAGATGAGTACAAGGGTATCATTAGGTCAAAAGATGGATGAAGAATATTTATAAACCTTTTCTTATAATCCAAAGGTCTTTTTTTTAGTCAAAGTAATTTATGATTATTTAGAAATAAAGAACTTGGGAGGTTTATTCTATAAATATATTTTTATTTTTTAAAAATCTTTGGAGATCTCATTAGGTCGCTATGTTTTTTTAAAAAAATTTAAAATGAACCTTGTAGAATTTAATTAAACACTTAGTTTGTAGGATCGTTGAATTTTGTTTTAAGTGCATCCAATCACATATATATAAACATGAATTATACTATATAAAGTCACAATCTAAAATCATACATGTTATAGTGGTTCGTTTCAACACTTTTTGGAGAAGAAACCTTCAAAGAATCTTCACACGGACTTTAGTGCAATTGGAGGAGGATGAAGGAGAACAAACAAAAAAAGTGTCTGTTTGTCTGAAATAGTAAAGAATGAAAAGATACTTTGATTCCTCCTGTGAGAGCCCTTTTATAATTCTAAAGGATACAACTACTATATATATATATATATATATATTGACTCGATTTAATTTTCTTCAAGTCGCTATTATTATTTGGCGGATTTCTTTTTTATTCAACCGACCTCATGAGATCTCTTTCTTTAAAAAAAATATTTAGTTGAATAGCAACCGCATGAGGTTTTTTTAGCGACCTGTTTTTTAGGTCTTTCTTAATAGTAATTCTTTGGACTAAGCATTTGACTTGGTTAATTAGACCGGTAGATTACCAGGTTTTTTGGACTATTTTTAGACTAGGAAAGGAAGACAGACTTGTGATTTAGCATCCAACCCTAGGTTTTTAGAATGCAACAGGCTATCCAGCTGCAACAACAACTTTTAGACTTGATGTTATGCCTTTGTCAAGTGTTGGTGTACAAGTTATGCCCAGATCTGTTATATCTAATGTTTGAAAGGTTCTAGGAGATAGATCCACTTCAGTTTCACAATGGATAAGGAGAGAACTATGAGTTTCTTGTGAGTTGTCATGAGATGTTACAAAATATGAAATTGGCGGAGCCGGTTACACTACTTTTCACATGTGTGGCCTATCCATGAAGTGGTGTCGGTTTGATGTGGATACTAGACCAACATGTTCATTCCCCTCTAACTTGCAAGAAGAGAAGTGAAGTCAGTTTGAGCACTTGATATTTCATGTCTATGAGACTAGAATTTGTCAATTCATTGGAAATTTGACTTATAATATCAATAAAGCAGCTTATCAGACAACCTTGTCTGGAGCTTCTTTTCAAAGAGCAAGTGGTCATGGAAATTGAGCTTATGCGCCACAAGGAATTTAGGAATTTAACCAACAAGAGGTTGCACTTCTTGTGATTTCAATGGTACCTTATCTGAATGTAGGGGATCTTTAAGGAGGGTTTTCATCCTCGGTTCAGTATAATTGTTCATGCAGTTATAGAAACATATGAGGAAAGATATTTAGGACAAGGTTTCTACAACTTGGGTCAAGACGTATCAGGTCGGTATTAGAGGTTTTCTGATTATGGTGACTATTCAGTATATTCAGATTCTTGTTAGTATATGGTGTTTCCTACTCCTACTATGAGTGTGGTGAGTTAGGAAAAATCAATAGAGATTTCTCCCGTCTTAGATTGGGAGGCCGACATCAATAGTGTTTTGTACATTTGTTGCTTCGTTTTTGCTTTTTAAATAAAATTTGGGAAGTTCTTTTTTAAGAAGTGAGTAAATTTTCCAAATTCAACTTGGAAAAAAATGAACAATTTCATAACAAAACATTAATATCATAAAAAATGTTATTTTAAGAAAGTGAATACAATTTATACACCATGACTTTTATGAAGAAGATGACAATGAACAAGAAAACCCTTATTTCTTTTTATCAGACTCGCATTAGCTGGTCTTGATTCATTCAATTCATATTTAATTTAAAATAAGATTTTACCAATCTAACAACTATTCATTAATGCAAGATATGCCTATTTTTAAGAAAAAAAATGGATAAGAATTCACCAAGTAATTTAGTTCCTCTAAAAAACACTCAAAACTTTTTATTAAAAAATGGAGAAAGTTGAAGAATATATGGTGTTGTCATGGGTTAGAAAATCGGGAAGTGATGGTTGCAAAATTCTCAAATCCCTTTTCTAATTTACGTCGATGTATTGTTCAATTTTCATATGTCGAATGTTAGGTTAAGTATGCAAATTTAAAAGGGAATTTTATTAATGAAGAAGATGATGAGAATGCATTCATAAAGTTGATGACATATAAACTTAGAAAGACTTGTAGAGATTATTGGACCTAGCAAGTCAAGCTAAAGGATACTCCATCTTTTTCATAATCCCTCTTTTCTTCCTTTTTAATTATTATTTACTTATGATGTTTAATGAATTATGAGTTTTTACTAATATTTTGTTTGATCTTACATTTATAAGATGATTTATATAAAAACAAAAATTTCTAGGAGGTATAAAATATATCCAAAAATATATTATCTTTTCTAAAGTTTAGGTGTTGGAGCACAAACAAATTATCACTAATTGGTAAAATATGCACTAGTTTTATATTATTTTTTTCAAATAAAATGTTCTTTATTATTTTTTACTATTACCAAAAAAAAAAGAACCAGTATCACTAAATAATAAAACTCTATTGTTAAAATATTTAGGGAAAATTGTTAAAACAATATTAACTATATATTTTTTCATAACAAATTTCCTAGCTACTTCATGTTTTTCTTATAAAAGCACTAATAGATTGTTAGCTTTGATAATTGGCACCAAATAATTATTAATTAATTTTGACTATGTTTATTGTCCAAATTTATGTTGTAAATCTTTTTTTTCTGGTGCATTGAAAAAAAAAACTAAAAAGGAAAAAAGAAATTTTGATAAGTCAAATTGCTTAATTCTCCATTGAAAAAAACTTTATATTATTGTTGGTGACTTTCCAACTTAGAAATTCTTCTTTATTTTAAAAAAATAAAATAAAATAAAATTTGAGTTAGAGAAAGAGAAAATGGAGGAGTGGATTAGAAGTAGGGTCAAACCCTAACCAATAAATTGAAAATTCATGTAATCAACCAACATAGCTACTAAGATTTTCCAACTAGCAATTCTTTGTATGCTAAAATCTTTATTTCTCAAAGAATTTGTAAAATTATTTATAATCTCTCTTCGAATGCATATTTTATCCTTCATTTCTATCAAGTGTTTATAATTTTCACTATTATTATTATGAGAGTGAAATTATATATCCTAATTGTTTTAATAGAAATTGACAACAAAAAGGTAATATGATTATTGATATCTTTAATTATGCTATGTTTATGTAGGAAAAAAATTTCAAAAATTTTCAAATAAGAAGCTAAAAAAAGAATAAAGTTAAATGAAGAAAAAAGAGATGATAAATC